TGAGTTCTGACATTAGCTTCGATAACATATACACATCGAGCTTAGAATACACCAAATCACGAATGTAAAACGCCACCATGAGAAATTAGCTTTCAACTATATTGAAATGAGCCGACTAGGCATAGCATCCACAACAGTGAAATCTGCACAGGATGTATACTCTTAAAACTTACTCTGTAATCATATAAAGCAAGTATTAATATTTAATTATATGAAATAGAACTGAGGCAAAAAGGACATTACCTCCTTTTCAATCAACTCCTCTAGGCTAATTTGATTCTCCTTATCTTGCTCTTCCATCTTCTTTCTGTCCTTCTTCAAAACATATCTGCAATTACAGAACTCTTAATTGTAGAAGACAGCCAGATCGGGGGGATTAAAAGAAAACAAAAGAACCCTACCCCTCAGGTAGGCAATGCCTGTAATGACATTTATCGCCACCATTGGGGCATTCCCAAAACCATCCATATTTGCTTTCTTCAACAGCTTGAAGGAAGTATTTGCAAACCTAGAGTAAAGAAACGAGATCCACAGATGGGAACTCCAACAAAAATATTGGAAAAATGCATGCTCCAAAGCACAAACTAACAATCGTTGTTTGGTTCAACTTCTTGTTCGCCTCTCCATGTTTCTTGCTGACCACTTCGCTCAGCTTGGTTTCGTCCCAATTTTCCATATTGTCTAAAGATAGGTGGTATATAAACAGGATTTGATAACCAGGCCAGTTGTCACTGATGCTGAACGGTTTTTCCCGAAAGTTGAAACACGTACCTTCCTCTTCTTTCTTAAGTTCTCTGCTGTCCACGTAAAGGTTTTTCTTTTGAGTCTTCTGTTCAACAGCCAAATCATGACTGAACTTGCATTTGGCACCTTTGTGGCACATACCATTTTTGAAAAACGCACAGACCACAGATTTTGGATCGACATCTGTCAAAGAGAACTTTTATGAAAGCAACAGATAGGAGTTGAAGAAGACTCAGAAATCTTATTGTGCGTCACTATTTTTACTCCACATAACAAACTTATGAATGAGATCATGAAAACTTGAGGACAAGAAGATATTGCATTGAAAAGAGCCATATAAGACTCAGAATTTTCCAAGGATGCAACGAAATGTTATTTTCGTTGATCTCGGGCTTATAAAGATGGAATGCACAAAAACCAGGAAGCACCATCAGAAATGATCACAAGATGTTGAGAAATAATAGAAAATTTAAACGGAGATAGAAAAAAGTGA